TAGCTCAGTGGTTTCTAACTTTTTAACGGAAAAGTACTGCCATTTCACAGTTAGTTGACATTTTTGATGTCTGTTGAGAAATAAACAATGTAAAAACAATTTACAGATTTTTGAATAGTAGATGAAACTTTTTTCCCAAATGAATTTTTATATGGAACTCCAGTGCATAAGAAGTTAAAATGGTATTTTAATAGAACTTATTTTTTATAAGTTCAAAATTTTAACATTAATTTATAAAGCCAATCAATGAGAACAGTTAAGTCTTTTTAGATGAATTTAAATTTGAAAGGGGGTTTGTGGATGACACATGGTTATGTCAGTTTAGGTATCCAATTTATTTCTTTACTCTGTTTTGACTGCTTAGTCCTGAAAATCTGATTTGCAGATATGGACACTTTTTCTTGGAGTCTCCATGTCACCTTAGTTCTACTGATCAAGAGCTATAAAAGGGCATTACTAGTAAGGGAATTTCATGTGAAAATTATCATTGCTAATGGCCTTAATTGTTGTTACTTCATATCACAAATGCAAACCTCAAACTTAAGCACTAAAACTCTGGTACTGTTTTCATGTCAACACTTGTGAAAATTATCATTGCTAATGGCCTTAATTGTTGTTACTTCATATCACAAATGCAAACCTCGAACTTAAGCACTAAAACTCTGGTACTGTTTTCATGTCAACACTTTGTTAACACACACACACACGCGTGCCTAGTCCTGTAGGAGAGGGGAGCAAGCAACAAGTAACTGGGTCTTTTTGGAAGGCATTTAATGGGTTATGGCATAAGGTATGTGACTTGTGGGCATGATTTTGTGTGAATGGACATGTGAAGGCTTAAATTAGGGTGGAGCAAACAGTGCAGAGCTGCAACCTTCCTAATAAATTATACTTGATTTCAGATTTTACACCCTTATTCCCTTCAGGTCCCTGTCCTCAACTCTCCTTTAAAGTTAGACATTTCAGTATTTCTTATTCATTTTTCATTTTCAAATTAAAAAAAATAGAAGAGTGGCACTGTTTTACATTTAATATCTTTAATGTCTGGCTTAACGGAGGGCAGCTGGATTCTCATATCTTCTACAGTTGGTCAGTTGCAATTAATATTTTTGGTTGGACTATGTGAAGAAAATCTGGCCTCACACATATTTGGTTGAAAAGTTTATTTCAGTACCCTTTTTAGATAATTGTGTGGCTATTTGATAATACGCCAACACTTGGTAAGTGTTAGTTTCTTATTAGTGGTGTGTAATCTGAAACAATATCAGTGAACTTTTCTCAGTTACGTTAAGACCATGGTCTTGTCATTCTCTGTCACGATAACATAAGTATCCATATATATATTGCTTCCTCTGTTTGTATACTTTGTTATTTAGCAAGCTGATCTTTATAATCTCAGTATTGGCAACCCTGTTAGCCACGGTCAAGTCCACCAAGCAGATGTTAACCTGGAAGCAATTTGAGTTCTCCAACATGGGGCTGTTACTGGATGTATGTGTGAGTTGGCCTTTGAATTCCAAAGGAAACCACTTCATAAAATTAACTGAGTGAATAATTTTAATATACGTATGGTCCTAGAAATATTATAAGATCAGGTGGATTGTCTCTAGGTCTGGTCATCTTGTTATGTAAACTTACAGGAAGAAGGACACTGCTTTCTGTTAAGTCACAATCAGAAATTACCTGGGCCGAGCCCATGGCACACTCCGGAGAGTGCAGCGCTGCGGGTTCAGATCCTATATAGGGATGGCCGGTGCGCTCACTGGCTGAGCGCGGTGCGGCCGGTCTCAAAAAGGACAAACAAACAAACAAAAACCAAAGGGAAAAAAAAAATTACCTGTAATTTGTCTCCTATGCCCCCCACAACCCCTTGCATCAGGACATTTTTTTTTTTTTTTTAAAGATGACCAGTAAGGGGATCTTAACCCTTGACTTGGCGTTGTCAGCACCGCACTCTCTGAAGTGAGTGAACTGGCCATCCCTATATGGGATCCAAACCTGCAGCCTTGGTGTTACCAACACCAAACTCTCTCAAGTGAGCAACGGGCTGGCCCTGCATCAGGACATTTCCCTTCATCATTCTTAAGAATGGAGAGAACAGTTGATTACAGCATGGGTCTGGGGTTGAAAGGGAACCTGGAGGCTTAGTATTGGATACTTCCTAGAAGTTGGAGGGGCCTAAGAGGGGCAGTGAAGCAGGAATTCAGTTGGCCCTGCTAGGCTGTGGGGGAGGCTCTGTGGGGATTCTAAAAATGTGTGGGGTGTCTTGAGTGTTCCAGGGTATGGGACCTACCCCTCACCTTCTCTGCCATTGTATTTGTAGCTTAGTCCCCAGTGGCAGACAAAGTTTATGCTCTTAACAATTACATTCTTACATTATGCTGTCTTTTTATGAGGAGCTATATCCACATGAAGTACTGTTTCAAGTGTATGATATCAAACATTGACTGACCAGTGCTTAGGGTTCACAGTACTTGGACTTTTTTGTAAGGTTTCCCTTCTGTGGTAAAGGTGATAAGCTAAAGTAGGTTAAGCACTATGTAGACAGATTCTATGTTGATAGTTGGATGTCTCAAAAGTATACGAGTCTCTCTTGACCTTACTTTACTTTGCTCAGTTTTAAAAAAATTGATTTTTGGTTTTTCAACTAATTTTGGGCTTTTTAATAAAAGCAGTGTGGATGTGTGGTTAAAATGGTGTAAAAGAGTACATACTCTTAAAATATAAGTTTCTCTTCTACTCTTGTCTTCCTACCCCTCCCTGCAAATATCTACTGTGTTTTGTGTGTTCTTCCAAAGAGATTATGTGTTTAGAGGCTAGCGGTATCTATATCTGTCTCCTTCCCCAGTTTAAGTATGCACATTGGAACATTACTACTCTGCACTTGTGTGTGTGTGTGTGTGTGTGTGTGTGTGTGTGTTTTACTTAACTATACCTTGGAGATTGTACCACAATAGTTCATTGAGGTTTATCACTTTTCATGAGATTGTTTATAAGTTGGGTATGTTATTAGTATTTGCAGTTAAATTAGTACAGTTTATGTAAGTATGTGCTTTATGGTTGAATATTTAAAAATATATAAAGCAAGTGATAAGGAAAATAGGCAACCATTTCAGGATTAAGGGCCTCACAAAACTTGAAATTTCTAAGACTTAAATAAAATTTTTATTTCGGTATAGAAAATCCACCATACTAGTATAGTAGTTTAGTCTTGCAACAACAAAGAGGATATGAATATTCAGATATTCAAGAACTGATTCACATTTGAGGGTTTTAGAATGAACCTTTAGAAATTTAGAATCCCGGGCGGGCCAGTGGCTCACTCGAGAGAGTGCAGTGCTGATAATACCAAGGCCACGGGTTCGGATCCCATATAGGGATGGCCAGTTAGCTCACTGGGTGAGCGTGGTGCTGAAAACACCAAGTCAAGGGTTAACATCCCCTTACCGGTCATCTTTTAAAAAAAAAAAAAAGAAATTTAGAATTTGTATTGACTGGTAGATAGTTAGCTAGATGAAATTAAATACTGGAATATTCTTGAAAGGGAAATCTGAGATATTTTTCCTATCTGAAGCATCCTACATTTTTGCTAACTTTAAACAGTGGGTGCATTTGATGTTACACACAAATCACCATAAAGCTTGCTTAGTAAGTTAACAAAATCCATGTTAATTTTTTTAAGTGTGAGTGAATACAGTTGTATTGGTATATAGGTGAATGCTTTTATTTTTAGAAGGTATGTGCTGAAATAATTGGGATTGAATTGTCCTGTCTGAAACTTTCAAATGGTTTAGAAAAACAGATTACATATAGCAAATAGGGCAAAATGTTAATTGAATTCAGATTTAGATATAGTGTCTTCAAAATCTTCCAAAATAAAAACTTGGTGGAAGGAAAGCATACCCCTTAAAAGTTAATACCTGTTTCTCAGTTTAACTGCTGATATTTCTTAAATTGCAAGCAGATATATAGCTTTTGATGGATTTACAGTACATTGTTGCTGTTGATCCTTCTGTGACTGAAGCTATTTGGGATGATATTGAAAGATACTGAAAAGAGAAAATAAAAGTAAATTGCTTTTAAAACGAGTGTAAAGGTGTGGTATATTTTATTAAGATGTGAAAATTTGAATGTTTTCAACACTACTATGTACTTTTTTCCTAGTAAGTAAAATAATTATTTAATACGTTGTTTAGTAAATGAAAAGTAAGTGGGATTGACTGGCATTTTCAGTGTTTTTAGTAGTTAGAGATTAGTTAAATTTGAATGTTTTCAACACTACTATGTACTTTTTTCCTAGTAAGTAAAATAATTATTTAATGCGTTGTTTAGTAAATGAAAAGTAAGTGGGATTGACTGGCATTTTCAGTGTTTTTAGTAGTTAGAGATTAGTTAAAAAAAAAATTGAGGGCCAGGAGAAGACGTTTTATTTGGATTTTGGTAAAATCAAAGAGTTATTGTGTCTCTCTTTTGCTTCTTATTGCAAAGTTTCCCAACCTCTTTGACATGGAAAGAGGTAGGATGTGGCAGCAGTTATATTCTCAGAATAGTGAACAGAAGAAAAGATTTCAGGTCAAGTGATTTGCAGAACTGTAAAGATGATGCTTTGATTCTGAACTATTTACAACTTGGAACTATTACTTTCTCATGCTTCTTAGAACTATGGAAGGGTTGAGATGTGATAAGCTGTGTGTGTGTGTGTTGTGTGTGTTGTTTTCTGTAGGGTATAGTATTGTGGAGTTCATGTCTGGTAAAAGTTGCTTAAATTATCGCATATCTGGTTTTGAGGTTCTGTTGTGTTTCTGCCTTGATTTGCACTTTATTGCCAACTGAATAATTTCAAAGCATTGTTGTTTTCTAATGGAGAATATGGTGTGTTTTTATGCTTTGTTCATACGGAGCAGTAGTATGTCAGTGGTAATCTTAATTAAATATTTATAAGATCATATTCATGCTAGTGAATTTCTAGAAATAACACAGCCTTTTTTCTTCTTTTGTAGCATAAGCAGTACTATAATGGATGTAGACAGCACAATTTCCAGTGGGCGTTCAACTCCAGCAATGATGAATGGACAAGGAAGCACTACTTCTTCAAGCAAAAATATTGCCTATAATTGTTGTTGGGACCAGTGCCAGGCTTGCTTCAACTCTAGCCCAGATCTGGCAGATCACATCCGTTCCATACATGTAGATGGTCAGCGAGGAGGGGTTGGTTTTGTCATTTCTTTTTTCATTCCCTGTGTTCATTAGTTTTATTAATTTATAATTGCTAGTTAATCTTCCTTTCTGGAAGTAATTTGGGGTTTTTTTTCTCATAGGCTTTATCTTTTTAAGTGATTTTTTTCTTTTAATACTTGATAGAATCAAATAAAAATAGAGTATATTTTGTGTTGGATTTTAGCTTGCTCTTAGATATGTTATTTTGAAGAAATTAGACTTTCTAAAATATAGTGGAGATATGAGTGAATACAGTATATTCCAAGGATCTAATGTCTGGAGTTGAGAACATTTAGGAATTGGCACTGTCCTGGATTTCCCTTGTTAGAGGGTTCTAAATTATCCCTGATGCTAAAATTAATTAGAGAGACTATTGTACCAGGATTAGTATATGTACATCTGTTAAATGACAACCTGAACTCATTACTTGTGAGTGAGAATTGAGCATTTTTCCTGGGTCTTGTCAGAGCTGATTTAGATAGAAAGTTCTGATTAGTTGGTATTGACTTATACCTTTTCATGAATATATTTAATTGTGTCAGTTCATGTAACTTTTATTGTGCAGTGAATAAAGAGCTAAGCAAATTTTGTGAGTTAAAGTGTAATGGACCAAAATAGTAATTTATAATTTTTTTTTCAACTTTACCTTTCTTGTCTTGTACAGTTGCTACACTTAGTATATTTTCCAAAAAATGTCACAGACAATTTATTAGGCCATGCATCTTCTATTAGCTTGCCATCACTGTTGAGGTACACTGATACTAAAGTGGTTAAAATCATCATGGTTAGGGGCTGGCTGATTAGCTCACTTGGTTAGAGCATGGTGCTGATAACACCAAGCACCAGCGTCAAGGATTTGGATCTCTGTACCAGCCAGCCATACCCCCACCAAAAAAAAAAAATCATGGTTTAAATGAGTGGGTAACTTTTTTCAAGGTTGTATTGATATTTAGATTACAGCATTGGTCTTTTCTTTTTCCCAAACATGCAACCATGTAAGCATCCCTAACATTTTAACCAGTTGTGTCCCATTTGGAATTTCTTTTAAAATATCCTTGCCACAATATGTATGTCAGCAATCTTTTGATTACTCAAACTTGATAAGTAAACATTTGTCTTCTTATTAGATTTTGTATGTATGGTGTCTGAGTAACACATAAAATGTTATACTTCCACATGGTCCATTTATGAGGTGTGTCCATCATGTTTTTTTTTTTCCCCCACTGTAATACCCAGCTCAGTGGTTAGGCTACTTTGGTAGCTCAGTCTTCCTCCTACCAATATGTCAGATATTTAATGTAAACTATCTTACCAAGTTGGTTTTCTGGCTGTTACGCATCTGCTTTTTGTGATCCAGTGCTTGATGCCACATGGTATATACCACTTTTGAGCTATGGCATGATGCTTTTCTGTCACTTGACTTAGCAACTATGTATAGGATCACAAGCTGTGTAGACCACTGGGCTTTTCTTAGTAGGTGTGGGAAAATTTTACATTTCTGTCTTGTATCTCTTGTATCCGACAAGTTGAGTTGGCACACAGCCTTATGAGAATGTTTTCAGTCCTTTACAGATGTGTAGGAGAAAATGCAGTTACAGACTGAATTTTCTGAATTACACATATCATGTAATCACTGCAACTATATGTACCTTATTGACATTACAGAGCTAGACAATGAAATCTTGGTATTTCTACCATAAGTATAATCTTGCTGAATTGAAAATCCCCTCATCACTGCAACTATATGTACCTTATTGACATTACAGAGCTAGACAATGAAATCTTGGTATTTCTTTGTCTTGCTGAATTGAAAATCCCCTCATATCATTTCTTGAACCCTTATTCATAATACTACTTTGTTGCAAGAAACTAAGATTCTCTAGCTAATTTCCAGAGTAATGCTGTATTGATCAAAGAAAGGAGTCTTGATCTTTGAAGGATATTTGCTAAACTGTAAATTTGCATTTACATTTACAGTTTAGCAAATATAAAGGATAAAAGAAATGTAGAAAATGCATCCTAGGTTTTTCTGAAATGCATATGAAATGCATACCAGTCATTGGTATATAGACTACATTTTCTGAATGGTAAAGCATGAATGAGAATTGAAAACTTGGCACTACTATAAATGATAAGAAAAATGTTGATCTGATTTTGTGATTTGAGGTTGGATTTTTGTGTTTTGAGAAGTTGTTGGTTGGAACATTGGAATTTTTTTTTGTTTTTGAAGTGGCTCTTTTTTTGGGGTGGCGGGGTGGCTGGCTGGTATGGGATCAACCCTGGATCTCAGTGTTATCAGCACCACTCTAACCAACTGAGCTAACCAGCCAACCCAAAATGGTCTCTCTCTCTCGGTTTTTTTTGTTTTTTTTTTTTAAAATAAAAACCATTTCTTAGAATGCAGTTCATTGGCATTAAATATATTCACATCGCTGTGCAACCATCACCACTATCCATCTCCAGAACTTTTTCATCGTCATCCCAAATTGAAATCTGTACCCATTAAACAAACTCTCTCCTTCCATCATTCCTTGCTAACCACTCTTCTACTTTCTGTCTGTGAATATGACTATTCTAGGTCCCTCATATAAGTAGAAAACATCTGATTTTGATGGTCTAATTTTTTTTTTTTTAGATTTCTTATTTCTTCTTTCTATCCCAAGTGTTAAACTGTCATGGAACAGAAACAGATGAGGAAAAAATTGGTAACCCTAGAAGGTTTTATGTTAATATTGAAAGATGATAGTTTTACTGGTACAGTGAATTAGCAAGATCTAAGTACTATATTCCTGTTCTTTTTCTCATTCCATTCTAATCCTAACCCTGGGAAAAACAAACAAAGCCATCATCATACAATAGCTTAGATACTCTCTCCACCCCCGCCCTCCCAAACCCCTCTTAAGCTATTTATGTTGCCGTGTCCATGTGGACTTTTAATTATATTTAGAGCCTGAAGTCAAGTGGAGTTTAGGTTTTTCTGATGTTTTCATATGTCAAAGTGGGTGGATACTTGATTCTACATTAAAAATTAATCATTTGGGCCAGCCCAGTGGCGCACTGGAGAGTGCACTGCCTGGGAGTGTGGTGGCGCTCCCGCCGAGGGTTCGGATCCCATGTGGAGACCGGTTCCCTGAGCGCGGTGCGGGCGCAACACCGAAGGTTGTGATCCCGTTACCGGTCAGTAAAAAAGACAAAAAGGAAAAAAAAAATTAATCATTTGAACAAGTTATGAATATACCTTTTTCAAAAAAATCATGAGAGTACTTTCTACGATTTAAAAAATAAAAACAGGCAAAAAAATCAACTTTTCATGTTAAGTGTAGAATTGTGTTCTTGGGTCCATACCTCTGTGTATGACTTGGTTCCAAAAACTAGAGTCTGAGCTATTTTACTAATCAAATTTCAAATTCCATTGTTTTCTTAATATACACCTAAGTCTTGGTAAGTGGGAATCATAATCTTGTATGATTTCAGGGTTCAATATAAGATCCATTGGTGTTCTGTTCTTTCTGTCTTTACTGTTTCTCATGTTAAAAACAATTGCAAGAGGCTGACTGGTTAGTTTAGTTGGTTAGAGGTCAGTGTTATAACACCAAGGTCAAGGCTTCAGGTCCCTATACTGTCTAGCTGATTAAAAAAAAAAAAAAAAAATGCCGGAACAAAATCTCTTCAGGTGTCTTGGCTCAGGATTTATTTAGTGTGTGATTTTAAGAGTACTTTTGTATAAATTCTTTGGTATGTTTTTTGTTTGGGCAGAGGGAAGAGATTTTGGAGGAGGTGGGAGATGATAGGGTATTTGAAGACTTGAATGAGACCAGTCACCTTTATATGTTTTATAAAATGGCATTTATAGACTAAATTTGTAGATTCAGTTGGAGTGCTGCTAGTAGGTGAAATCAGTTTTAGGAGGTCATTTTGAGTTTTTCATTAAAAAATTTTTTTTCATTGAAACAAAATTGCTTATACATATTTGTGGGGTACAGAGTTCACTATCAATACTTGTGTACAATATGTGATGATCAAATCAGGATAATTATCATATTTATCATTACAAAACATAGTCATTCTTTGTGTCCATTAACCAATTCATTTTGAATTTTGATTGCCAGTCTGGTATGTCCTAAACACAATATGAGATTGGCCATAGCTTTTGTAATAAATGGGAAATATTTTACTCTTATGATTTGAATGTTTTATTTTTGTCCCTGTTTTGTTAAATATCTTTCAAGAGAGGAAATTGAAAATGTTAATACATTTAATATGGCTAAAAATAATAGGATAAAAAGTTATATTGGTGAAACATATTCCTTCCCAATTTGGATTGAATCTGAATTCTATGGTGTTTAATTTTCAGTGTTAATTTTTACAATGGGGGAGTTTCTAAAAATAGAATATAAAGATTTTTTTACAACATATTCCTTCCCAATTTGGATTGAATCTGAATTCTATGGTGTTTAATTTTCAGTGTTAACTTTTACAATGGGGGAGTTTCTAAAAATAGAGTATAAAGATTTTTTTATATATTGTACATCAAAAAAGTCTCAGGTTTGAATAAAACCCTTTCGTCAGATTTTGGACTACTGTTTTCAAAGGGTCTTCCTAATATAAGTTAGGAAAGGAAATTTACCTTTTGAACAGTTTTCGTGAATCGTTCATGTGGAATTTTAGTGCCAGTTTTGTATATCAAAATTATCTTTGTGGAAGTGTAGTGCTTTTTGTCTCCCCAGAATTATTTCTAAAATATTTCACTAAAATGTAGCTAAACTCGTCTCTTTACGCTTATTTCATTTTCTATAAAATTCACAAGGTTGAAGGTTTTGATTTTTCTTTGAATCTGAAGGTGTCGCCTTAATAGTGTTACTAGGCATTATTCCATCTAGAGTCTAGACCATACCTACTCACTAATTAAGGCTGTTTCTGATGTAATTAAAGGGTCTGCCATTACCTTCGTAGTCCTGTTTGCTCATAGGAAAAAAAACATTAGAAGTCAGAGATTGTTGTTTCTCCCATATGTAGTGGTTGGGTAATGTTAGGAAGAGGCAGTATTTATCTGGAAGGAACTAAATCCTTTTCTTTGATTTTAGAGTAATTTAGAGCAGTGATCACTTAAGAGTTATATCAACAGAATTCTTTACTGTTAAAAAATTGTTTAAAAATGTTAATTTTGTTTCTAAATACTTGCTTTAAGGCATTTCTGTTTATGTGGTATTACTTGTGAGAATTTTAAATCAACCTGATTCCTGTTTTAATAAACAGGAATTTACTTGTATCGAAAATTTAAGACTCTTGAGTCTAGTAGACTTGAGTTAGGAAATAGATAGCACTGATTATTTGCATGTGATTATCAAACTATTGAATTAATTTCTTTAGCATTCAAATATAGCTTTTTAATTTTTTTCTTTTCCTAGATTTATTTTTAAAAGTAACTTTTAACTCTGGGAACCTCAGGCATCAGTTTATAAACATGTGCTAGGGGCAGGAATTTTAAGTATGAAGGAGGAAGTGTTATGACTTCCTGTATCTGTTTAACTAAAACTAGCAAATCTGTTGTGGAATCAGGATATGCAGTAACATTCTCTAAACAGTCATGCCAAATGGCAGTGTGGTATCGCCTTTGACATAATGATTCTTTCAAAGGTAATGATTGCATTAGATTCGTGCTTTTCTTACTGATGTTGGGGGCAGTTTTCAATGTTCAGGTTGATGGAAATATCATCAGTTTAGGAAATTGATATCTCACTTTTAGGAAGATGATAAAGATAAGATAGTCTTGTTACTTTCTAAATCTAGTCATACTCAGTTGCCTGATCCTAAGAATGTGGATCTAGTATTATGATGTAGAATCTCATGCCGATTGTTTTTTTACCACTATATTAATTTAACGTTTTGTATTAAATTTTGCTTTATAGTCAAGATAGTTGGAAATAATTCTTAATGAACAGAATAATACAAGCTTAGTGTTAGTATGCATGTGAGAATAGGAATTGGTGAGTAGTAAAATTATAATTTGATGATTTAATTTTTATTCTTTGAAGTTGAGAATATTAGTATCTACTAATTAATGTTTATTGATCATTTTTGTTTGTTTTTATTGTTTATGTCTTTGTATTTTCCTGATATTTAAAATTAGTAGATGCTTCTTTCTTCATGCAGTCAATACAGAAATGTGAATAATGGCTCACAGTTCCATTTCTAAGGGATATTTTGTTAATATTTTATTTATTTATTTATTATTATGATTTTTTTTTTCCTTTTTTGTCTTTTTTACTGACCGGTAACGGGATCGCAACCCTTGGTGTTGTGCCCGCACCGCGCTCAACCAGTGAGCGGGAACCAGTCTCCACATGGGATCCGAACCCTCGGCGGGAGCGCCGCCGCGCTCCCAAGCAGCGCACTCTCCAGTGCGCCACCGGGCCGGCCCTTATTTATTTTTAATTTTAATTTTTTATTCCTTTTTTGTTCATATTTTATATATTTCTTCTGAATGGCACTTAGTGATTAGTGTGTCAGTTCCTTATTGAGGGAGTGGACAGCAGCATTAGGGAGAAGGGTTAAAACTGCTTTATACCTGGAAATTCAGAAAGTTTAACTGTATTACATATTTCTCAGCCAGTGAGCGGGAACTGGTCTCCACATGGGATCCGAACCCTCGGCGGGAGCGCCGCCGCGCTCCCAAGCAGCGCACTCTCCAGTGCGCCACCGGGCCGGCCCTTATTTATTTTTAATTTTAATTTTTTATTCCTTTTTTGTTCATATTTTATATATTTCTTCTGAATGGCACTTAGTGATTAGTGTGTCAGTTCCTTATTGAGGGAGTGGACAGCAGCATTAAGGGAGAAGGGTTAAAACTGCTTTATACCTGGAAATTCAGAAAGTTTAACTGTATTACATATTTTAATTGGCCCATATATTAAATGGCTCTGTTTGTCAATTGAAGACTTGCACCATGTTTATTGAACTTACAAGAAAAACTCTTTGTTGAGATAGTGATGAAAATTATTATTGGCTCTTCTTTTAACAGGTATTTGTTTGTTTATGGAAAGGTTGCAAAGTATATAACACTCCATCAACCAGTCAAAGTTGGTTACAGAGGCATATGCTGACACACAGTGGAGATAAACCTTTCAAGGTAAGTATGTATGTATGTGGGGGTTTTTTTGTTTGTTTTTTTTTGTTTTAATTTCAACTTATGTTGACATGTTTCTTAATGGGCATACTTTTGCCCTTCTAAAATTTTTTAAAAGAACCATTTGTTTGGGCCGGTCCATGGCTCACTCGGGAGAGTGTGGTGCTGATAACACCAAGGCCATGGGTTCGGATCCAATATAGGGATGGCTGGTTAGCTCACTGGGTGAGCATGGTGTTGACAATACCAAGTTAAGGGTTAAGATCCCCTTACCGGTCATCTTTAAAAAAAGAAAAGGAACCATCTGTTTTAACATTTCTATAGATGCATGGAATTTCAAAAGTAGATGGAGATAAAGATAATTTAATTCAGATTTTTTTCAATTTGAAGAACAGAAAAAAAGTTACTGTTAAGTTAGGATCTTGAAAATAGCTAGTGGACAGACGAAAAACTTGAATCATTTGGCTATTGTTAATACCTGGTGGTCTCACCGTCAAAGATGCTAGCGTTTTTATTAGAAAATAATGTTGACTGCTATATGAAATAAATAAATTGTAGAACATCAGGGATTTGATTTCCTTTCAGTTTTGAGGTCACACTACTGAGCTTAGTTGTAAGTCACTTTGTCAAATAGATGTATTATGGGAAATCTTTATAAAGACCAAGTTTCTATAACAATCACTTTTCCATTTATCTTTATTAAAAATTAAAATAT